ATTTCACATAAGATACATTGTAAGCATACAGATTTCCTTTTGTTTTGAAGAATGCCTTTGTACATAATATGTGTAATGAATCATAAAATTTGGATTTACTGTCAATGTTCACACAATTTTGTAAATCCACACAATAGTAAGGATATAAGTGTTTGGTTTTAATAGGCATGAAATGAACAAATGCGATGTTTTCAGTATAATCTAGCTTTTGCGATAGTCCAATGAGTTTGAGGTTTAACTCTTTAACTTTGCACTGAAGAAAATCATTCTGAATCAACTTAAATGTGCTGTTTAAGTTGAAACACCCCCCACCCCACCCCCCCACCCCCACACACACACACAATCGAGACTACTTCATAAATTTGTCGCCTTGTTCAGCTAATATTTTGGCTGATGACTTGGCATCATAGAATAATTCAGTAATCTCTTCAACGTCATCTTTGTTTATGCAATCTTTACCATTGATCTTGGCGAGTAGACTGGCTGGTGTCAACAACTGAATTGCATATCTGCAGAAGATCAGGGAAATAACACATTAGTTACATGTTAATGTAGAACAGGTGCATGGTGTTTGCAAATAGACTCGCTAAAAAAAATCTTTAATTAAACATGGCGGTTAGTTTGCACACAATTACTTCAATTTCTAATTACTTCTTTTCTAATAAGCCAATGAAAAGAATGGCCTTGTTTGTGTACGTACATAATGAGAGCAATCTTAACTAGGGTTTTGAAAACAAATAATTGTCACGAAATGACAAAACTCAAAGAAAACCAACCATAGGGTAAATGTAAGAATATTTCTATCGAATATGTATGGAAAACAATACTAATGTGGCGAATTTGTATTATAAAACAATATTTAAAAGAACTTGTGATTTCGAGTGACTTAGCGAAAACATAAATCTCAATGCTGGTGTACTGTGTCGTTTTTTTTTTTTTATTAAAGGCCAACATTTATGCACCATGGGATGGGTGGAGCTGAGTATTACCGTGTCCACTACAATAAATCCCATCATGCATTGCTGTTTTGGGAATGCACTAAACACAACTAACCTAGGACACATATGATGTTCAAAGTTCACTCAAACATAAAAAACAGACTAATCCTAATGAAAAATTGATTTTGTAGTATAGTATTGTAGTCCATCTTCAAGAAATCCCATGCGTGATTTGGTTATTTAACAACACCCTGACATGCTATCACAATTGAATCTACGAAACTACATGCTTCAAACAAAATATTGCCGACAGTTAAGATTGAGAAAAAAATAAATATATTAAAGTTGACGGATAGATAAAATTCAATCACCTTAATGTGCTTTTGGCACCAGTTACTCCAAGCAATGCCAGAGATTCATCATCTATCTGTAAACCTTCAGTCTGCGCTCGGATACGTATAATCTAGAATTAACAAAATAAATATTGTAGTTTGTGTAAATTTGGCATTTCAATATTATCATTGGTATTGCTGTTTGGCCAATGAATAACAACAGTGTTTTTGCCAGTTATGATAAGGTGAATAAATCTGCAAATTTGAATATATGCAAATGTTGAGTCCTGCATATTTGGCTGAAATGGTAACTGTGTATTTAAAGATTGTGAGCATGGTTGTAAAGAGTGTGAAGTGTGAAATGTGACATATGAAACACATTATTATGCAAATGATATTTGAGATGAAACTATACACATGCACTTACTTGAACCATTTCATCCTGTGAATAAGGTAGTGTTCTAATGATCATCACTCTGTCTAACAAATCTAACGGAATGCCATGTGGAGATGTTATGTCATCTGTGCCCCTGAAAAGACATGTGAACAAATATTAGAAAACATAGAACGAAGACAGTGATATTTATAGTGAACTTCAAATTTGAGAGAGCAGCCATTTTCAAGGCTGTACTTTAAAAAATTATTGCATAAAGAAATTGTATACATAAAATCTGTATTTTTCGAAGGGCATCAAGACAAACTGATTGGACATCAGACCCTGCACAAAATATAGTATCCGCTGCATAGCACATAGTTTCTTTCAAATGATGTAATTTACACACGTTACATATGCTATACTGGACCCATGATGCAGGGACCTCCATCCCTCATAATACCAAATAAAAGTTTACTTTGAAAATAAGTTTTAAAAGATAATAAATCCTGATGATATCAAGTAGAGTCAGCAACTGCATATAAATTGAAAAGCTGATTCCTACATATGTTGTTGTTTTGGATATAATTAGGCACAGAGAAAAAGAAATGCTATTCTGATTACGGTAAACTGTTTTACAAAATTGATGCACACATTTTTTTTTTTTAATTTGTAATACTTTTATTTTAATTTGTCATGAAAATTGAATTTTTCATAAGTGTTTTTTTTTTTCGCTTAACTGCCATGAAACATGAACATTTATTTTCGCATTTATCACCCACATTCATACTTTTTTTGAGTGAGGCAACATTTCCTTACATTGAAGTCTGTTTCTCCTGACATTCATCAGTTTTTAGTGCTAATTGCAAGTGCATGTGCGAACCAGTCTACAAAACCTAATGCACATGTACCACACAATTTGAAGGCAGGGCAGACTGTAATCCTGATTTTCACTGTTGAGTAAACAGTCAATTAGCTTCAGTCTCTATCATGCAAAGCGAACACTCAGGTCCCTTAGATTCATACATAATACATCTTACAAAATCACTTGCAGCTCTACAAACAAGAGATACCAAGTGACAACCTCATACAAAAAAGATGACTAATTTTTAGATGACAAGAAAGAACACAGAATACAAAATAAGAATAATATAACAAGCAGCCTCTTGGCTGAGATAGCTCCGCTGTTAGCATTGCACATTTCAATTAAAGAACTGGAGATATCATTGGAAATGAACAATATGTATACATGTAGTATCCAGTGTTCGAAATTAACGTCGGTCCGTCGGCCTCACACCGACAGTGGGTGTAAAGGACCTAGAGCTGTGAAAAACCATCAGTCCTTGTGGCCGACCATAAATTTATATTTTAAAAAAATGTTCCATTTAGTATGATTGTAAGACCAAATATATAATAGATATCTATAGTAACTCCGGAATTGTTTCAAAATTGCGTTTTCTTGCACGTTTGATCAACAAATGGCATCACTCATCGACCTGGGCATACGAGTCATAATTCAAGCTCGCCGAATGATAGCGAAATGCGCCGAACGTGGGAACTGTAACAAACGATCTGATTGGATGTAGGCCGAACAAGCCTCCGATTCAAACCAATAGAATTCACGCATACATTTTATGTTCCGCCATCTTTGATTTGCATCGAACACGCTGGTATCAATAGTTGCAGAGTTACGTTTACATCGAAGTATGTGGCAATATTTAAACTGCCAGGAGCCTGCTGCTAAACGTGTGAAAACTAAACAAGAAAGGCATGACAAACAGCAAGAATACGAATGGTCTAGGCGTAAACCACGCACATTCCAAGTTAGCTGGCAGGCGAAGTTCAAAGACTGGTTACTTTTTGATAACAACAACAAGGTGATGTATTGCCTTGATCCTTGTAGAAGATGAGGCCGACGCCAATGATTGTGAACACGATGCAAAATGCATGTCAGATTCAGAGTCGGCCAGTGACCATGACAGTGTTTTTTCTGAAGATTTTGATGAGTTTAGTGACTATGAAAGAAATGACGATGACCTCATTGAGGCTGCAGATAATATATCTGATTAATTAGTAAATAAAGGTTTTACAATTGCAAGCTTGTATTATCCGTTTAGTCTTTGTTTAAATATCAGGGCCTAGAGTTAGCTAGAAGGACCTACAGTTTTAATTTGACATAGGTCCTTCTGGCCTGTTATGATTATCAGTTAATTTCGAACACTGGTAGTATCAAAGCAATCAGACTTGCTGTTTATAACAAAAAGTTGAAAATATCACTTTTTACTAAAAATGACAAAAATATTCACCAAAATTAGAGAATTAAAGATATCATCACGAAATGAACAAATCTAAGAGAGGTCTGCTCACGGTACATATACACCAAGTATCAAAGCAATAAGAATTGTAGTTTTCAAAAAGAAATCAAAAAAGTAAAAAGTTGACACGGACAACAACAGACAATCACTCATATGATAAGCTCTGCTCGACAAAGTCAACAGCAGAGCTAAAAAGAGAGTCTCTTACCTAATGGCACATTTACCTCTATTCGTCGCAAATACAACAATAGGAGCGAGTGAGGATTCTAATGCTCTATGTAGATAGGTAAAACATTCAATGTCTAACATATGAACTTCGTCAATAAATAGAACACCAGGAACTAACTCAGCTACGCCTTGGTCAATGTATTTATTAACTACTTTGTTGATTTCTTTTCTAAGTTTGTCTGTAATTTCTGTTTTCTTGGGTTTCATCAGCTGCCCCATCATTGACATTATGTCATGCCCTCCCTACAAGCAATTAATAAAATAGACGTCAATATATTAGATTCCTGAGCACCAGTTGTCATGTACTATGGTACTATTATTATATATCATGTTTTCACAAAATTGAACATGTACCACGGCTTTTAATAAAATGGTACAATACACAGGGGATGCGCCTTCACATCTTCCCATACAAGAAATGGTGAATTTTTAGTTCTCAATTTTTAAAAAAGAATGGGTGCGATTTCTATCAGCTTCTCAGGGATTTTTTTTAAACAAGGGAACAGGGGTGCAGCGCCCTCATGCCATGGCCATGCGCCCCCTCACCCTGGGGAGCAGATCTTCTGGCAATCATAAAATTCTGATTGACCAGGGATAACATGTGACCACAGTCTTCAACTGTGACCTGTCTGATAGTAATTTTGGCACCAAGGAAGCCATAGAATGCACCATTTTAACTTAGAATTATCAAAAACTCCACACCCTGGTAGGGAGAACCCTATCTCCTCCACTTGGTGGCGCTGCTGAATTGCAGTTTTCCCTCTTTCAGTTTTTTTCCTTGAAAAACTCCTGAGCTTCAAATACAGATTTCAAGCTACACGTTCAATTTTGTGCAAACAATGGTTTTGTCGTAGGTTAAATACATCGTAGGAAACCCACAAAACATGGAAACTGGGTTACATAAATCAAATGAGACCTGCATTACATATATCGCACAAGCCCCACAATACATACATCACATGAGACCCTTATCAAACGCCACGTCTGTGACAATTAAGTAAAAGTATACCGTATACTAAATATTTTTTAATTCCCTGAATATAATCTCTGTGGAAAATATACAATGTCACTGACATCATCAATCGATCACTCCACTATGAATAATCATTACATGACATAATTATCATTCAAAGCAGGAGATGTCATCAAGAATGACTTACCTGTGGTCTTGCATTGGCAACATCTAAATCATGTAAAGTGACATCTTGAATAACTTCCTTCTTTTTATGCACATCACCTTTTGGTAACGGTACGTACTCTTCTGCTTCTAAATCAAACTCTGTAGCAAATGTATCAGATCTGCCTTGTCTCTGTTCATGGCAAAGGAAGATGGCATTACAAACTTGACATTGAAGACAGTATTCAGTTGTAACGCTGTTAAAATTAGTTTGGAATAAATACAACAGCTATGGTATTGGCACAACACCCGCAAGTCTTGCCATAAACAAATGAACATCACTGAGCAGCTCTGTGGATCTGATTGTGACCGAGTTTTCACAATCTTAGGATGTCATCAAGTCACCGAATTGCATGTAGGATTAATATTGGAAATGACCAAAAATAGCTCCTGGCTCTAAACGCATCTAGGCCATATTTATGTGACACTTCTTTCAAATCAATTATTGCGTGTTAACACCAAACCAGCGAAAACGATCTAACATAATAACTACCTTAACAGCTCCACTGTTTGCTTCAATGTATATAACATCTCCCACTTCAACTTTTTCTTTTTGTAAACTCTCATAGATTGAAGGATCTAGTTTGAGCTGCTTTGTACCCTTGGCTGTCTTCAAACCAATGATCACATGGCTTACAGTCTTACCATAGCCTAGTGAGAAAAATAAACACAGTTTTGATATTTGTAGATGAACGAGTTCAGTTTTAATGCACTGTTTTTGTTGATACATATGTGATCATCTGTACAGCAAATGTGTAGACTTTAATGAACGTCGTTCCTATTTGGAGTATTTTTTATTAGCTAGTTGTATTGTGTTTTGTCGTTGTCTTACCTCCCATTGGATTTTCCGTTTCACAAGGAGTCAATTCAGTAACTTCCCCTTCATAGACTTCCTTCACTTCTTTGATTCGAAGGCCTGAAATATATGATTATAAAATAACTATTACAGATATTCACATGCATTTCTATTACAGCCTATAAACTCAATTCAATCATGATCTCAATTGATTAATAGTTAATTTTCAAAAACAAATTATTAAATTCATCTTATTGATTCATGTTGTTCCATGAAAAATGTTAAATTGTATCTTTTTAGTTTGTACCTGTACTGTAACTTTTAAGGATAACACAGGACAGAAATCCTTACGAAATCTTGACATTTGCACTATACTTATTGAGTTATGTTCACCATCATCTCTCTGTGAACTTTGTGCATGTGGCCACAGCACAAGACCACAACACACTAGAACAACACATCATACTGTCAACAATTTCAACAAAACATGAACTTAATTCTTTTACTCATGACATAAAAGTTAGTAAAGGACTGTGGCAAGAAGATAATTACTGCAGGATTCTGCGTTACTGCATATCATTCGTCTTGCATACTTTGTATAATCTACTATTGTCAAGAATGAAAAGAAAAAATTACCGATTGCTCTTCTGAAGTTCTCCATGAGCACCTCAGTTTTCTTTATCTCTGTTGAGAAAACTTCACTTCCCACCATTGGACAAAATGGCACTTTTGAACCCAACTCTTGAGCCATGGCAAGAGCCAGTGCGGTTTTTCCAGTACCAGGAGGACCAGCTAATAAAATAGCCCTACCAGCCATTTTTTTGGATTTGATGAGATCAACAACCACACCACCAGCCTGTAAATGAAAAACAACAAATTTACAATAACTCATAAATATAATTAAAGCTATACTGTAAACAATTTTATCACAATCAGCCATCTTGAAATCATATTCTGAATTTTGATTTTGTATTTTATGCAGTTCATAAGATAAATAATATTATTGATTACACAAAAGGTTTATAGACTTCTGCCAAATTACGACTACAAAAAAAATTAAAATTAAAAAATGTTATGGCACCCAGAAAGAGATTTTATAAGTACATGTAATTAGTAATATTTTGCTAAATATGACATCTGTCATTGTGTTGATTTCAAGCCTTTAATGAAAATAAGAGTGGAATACATGTATGACAAACAAATATTTTTTTTATTCATCACCACACACTACTATCGTCCACCCACAAAACCGTTTTTTTTTTTAGGGACTGTGGTTTCCCATGGTTACCATCTAGCAATTGCACCATCAATACAAAAGCAAGTGTCTGACACTCATAAAACTTTAAACAAGACCAAGTATGTAATTATATTTACCTCAGATAAAAGTCGTTGCTAGTCACAGTTCAATAATTTATAATGTCATGTTGGAAAGATATTGTTTATTAATATCCAAGATTCCAGAAACTTCTAGTGTTCAAAGTGCAAGTTTGAACATGGTGAACACCAAAGCGAAAGCGTTTCTGGTTTTTATTTATAAACATACATTGATTTTCTCGTTTTATTTAATTTTTATTTTAAGTAAAAGTGAAATATGTAGCGATGAAAAGATCACTGGAAAAATGGTTATTTTTAAGTTATAAGTCGCTAACAACACATGCGTTCCATACTAGGAAACACTAAGAATCATTACATTACCTCTCTTGCCAACTCTTGTCCAACGAGGCCGGCTGCTGCCTGCAAGGCCGCGCCACTTTCATCCAAACCCAAACCTTTCACATGGCTATGAGTTGCGATCCTCTGTGTCTTGGTAGTCGATTGAACCTCTTCAATTTTCATATTGACGCTAGATCACATGTACTATTACTCCGACAATTTAACCAGCTCAAAAATGGCGGATTTAGAGGAATTCCAATTTGTCATGCGCAGTAACCTTTACCTATAAATGTTTTGAAGAGGTCCAGCTTGTAAAACGCCTTTTCATTGGTTGTTCGCTGGAAACCGAGCAGTACGCAAAGTGGATCGTCCAATTAGAGCTATGTTTATAAAAACCCGTAACGAGTTCGTAGCTATTGGTAACTTCGTATTTACGTTTTGGTAAGCCATTTTTGGACACTCTTTTATACATTTCTGTTGTATTTCATCAAAATTCAGCAACATCAGGGCTATAATAGCCCACACACAGTTAGAGAAGATCATTAGCTAATGGCATATTTGCAAATATAATCTGTAAGTATACGATCTATTGGAATATTGTGTGGTTACAGACACCGAACGATCGGAACTTCGTATGGAATCGATAGAGCTGGACGTCTATACAGTCGCCCACAGGTCACTAAATCGAGATTTATTGCTAAAACTCTGCCGATCATATGAAAATAGCATCAGCGGACACCATGTGTTGTATTATGTGGTAATGTTTTTTTTGGATTAAGAAGCCATTTTATGATTATAGGTGTGCAAGTAAATCGTTTAGTTTTACGTTCATATTCTTGTCCAAGTTCAATCTTTCATGGCAGTAGCTCCGTCTGTCATTGTGGAGGTGATTGTTTTTTTCGGGACCTTGTCGGTACCCCAAACACACCGTTGTGTTGGAATGCCGTGAAGTTCTAACGTGAATACCACCCCTATGTCAAAACATGGACGTACATGGTCAAAATAATCAGTATCATTATGAATGTTGTAATACATATGTAGTACGATTGTCTTTGCTCCCACATAATAATACCAAATAATTATATTATTTACTAGTACTTAGACACGTGAAGGCTGCCTGTGTGTTCGCAGCGCTATCATGGTGGAGGTATTTTATTATTAGGATAAAATTTTTAAAATTAGGTTTTTCTATTTGATAATAACATATATATTGTGTAGTTCTTTCATTTGTGTCTTCACTGAATATCTTTCATTGAATAGGGTTCCAGAAAAACCTAATCTAACATAAAAAAAAAAAAAAAAATATATAAATTACTTTGTTCCTTTGTAGATTGAATAACTATACAACAACATCTTCAATATGAGTGCTGAACACAGTGGAGATGAGGGTGAAACCGAACCACGTGAAGTTGTGCCATATGAGGCACCAATTACACCGGCTGCGCCTAAAGTTGTTCTGCAAGAAGAAAGTCAAGTTGAAGTGTCAGCAAGTCCAGCTTTCCAATGCCTTGATGAGGTATGTATTCTTCATGTTGTTAACAAATATTCTGAGCTTCAATAGTTACCAATCTCCTTTGAAATATTCGAAACCTCTGTCAAACCATTTATTTTCACTGACATTTAATTTCACTATTTTGATGTTTTGAGCATAGAAGTAAAGTAGGATGTGATCGTATGCTATCGATAAAGAGCCATTGCTCAAAACGTCTAGAAATGTTATTAGTTACTTAGGACAACGATTACCAAATATTATCTACTATATATCATATTTATCGGTCTGTTTGTAGAGCTGGTTGATTTGAGTGTCAACTAGCTCTATGAATGAGTGATATCAGATGATAACCTTTCCATCGCACGGCCAACTCATAATACTGTACACTTTATTTTCGCTTGGAATTAATTTTCGCTATTTTCGCTGAAGGAATGATTCAGTGAAAATAAAATCCAGCGAATAAACCTTTTTTTCTATATTTTATATTCAAATCGTCAAAAATCAGTGAAATAAATTCCATACAAAACACCTAAGAAGTGTTTTCAGTGAAAATTAATTTCAGCTAAAATAAAGTATTTTACAGTATTACAGAACTATGTTCATAATACGCTAATTTATGCTAATAAGGAGTGATGTCGAAGGAAGTTTTATCTACAAAAAACAATGATAAAACATTTTGTAAAAAGTTGCCTAAAATGAAAAGGATAATTAATATGTGGATAATATTTGGCAAATGTCTACTTTCCATGACAATCTGAGACTGTATCCCAGTTATCAAAATATGCATGAACATGATTAAAAAGTCTGCTTCAGGTTTTAGGCTCTGTAATTCTGATAGTCATCAAAACTGATAATAATACTATGAACTTGTTTAAATTGTGAAGGAATTACCTGACTATTTTTACAGGCACTAAAGCAGTCAGGTGGGGCATCTAAGGCAATGCTCGTTTTGGCCCTTCAAATCTCCTGCTACTTTGCATGTATGTAACCATAGACATTATAAATAAAATAAACTGATTATTGCATATTTTCTTTATTTTTTAGCTTTTTAAAGAAGGTCGTCTAACTGGTACAAAAGTTGCTTTATTGAAATCCAAATATACTGAGTTGTATAAGACCTTAGCCAAGTGAGTGGATTTATTAAAATATAGAATGTCAGTATCAAGTACCTGCTACATCAATTAACATAATGAAGGAAAAAGTACTCATTTTATTTGTAATTAAACTAGGAATAGTCAAGAAAGAACTACTGGAATTATTTCACTGTTTATTATCTTTACAGAACTCGCGACTCAGAATCAACGTTGCTTCAGGAAGCCAAGGACTTTACTGCTGAACTTGAAAGGCAAAGATTGGAACTAGAAAAGGCTGACAACTTCCCTGAAAGCTCTAATACAGAAGTCACAAAACTTAGAACCCAACTACTCAAACATAGGAATGAATATGATGAAACCGAGGAGAGAAATTTCCAGTATGATTTTCAAATTGAAAGGTGAGGTATTACATTAATTATTCTGCAGTATTTGAAAGTTAAATCTTGAACAACCTCCAAAATAACTGTGTTCGGACACAATCCTTATATTAATGGAGGATCCATGAATCACTGTGAGCCGTATTTCAATAATATCTTTGACGAATTTATCGTTCAGTGTACACTTTAACAACCCCTAAAATAACTGTGTTCAGACACAATCCTTATATTAATGGAAGATCCCTAATTCACTTATACAATGAGCCGAAGGGGGTTGTAACATTCTAAACGCCATCAAACAAAATGATATTGCTTGTTATATTGATATATAGAACAGTATAAAAAGTGGGAGATCAATCAAATTCATGTATTAATATAGCATGATGTGTGGACATAGCTAATGTAATTCTATAGATATGTGTAGTTTTTTACTATTACTTTGTTAGTGAAAATGCTTTACAATGTTTAACCTGTTTTTGTCCTATAACAACTAAATCAGAACTATGAATCATATACTAATTTATGCTAATTATTTAATATGGAATAATAATGTGAGGTTATTATGAGGATACCTCAATGTATGCATGAAGACAGTACAGCGAGAGTATCGATTGTCGCGTAGCGAAGGTCGATGTGACCGGTGTACTGTCTGAGTGCATACTTTGAGGTATCCTCGTAATAACCTTATTATTATACATCTTTTCCTTCCAAGGATACATCATGGGAATGGCGAAATCCAAAAAGTTTAGAACAGAATCAGCGAACTTCTTTGTGTGGAGTCTGGTCAAACTCAAATGTTTTTTTATTATTAGAGTAGGCGCGTAATCATTCCATATTTGGAATTCGCATTTCCTAATATGGTGGGATGAAAATACCCCATAAAATACTGCAAAATTATGACACGATGTAACTTTGCATTACGGTGACAGATGTATAATAATATTGAATATTACAACATTGACACAAATATATGCTTAGTGAAGCAACTTTAATGTAAATAAAATATTGTTGTTTGCAGTTTACAAGAAGAGAATAAGATGCTGGAAAGGGAATACTCACGTATGCCCAAGAAAGAAGAAATTGATAAGCAGACAAAAGAACTTGAAAAGAACATAAAAGAGCTAAAAGTAGAAATAGCGCAAAGACAGCTGGAAGCAAAAAACTTGAGGGAAGAGTTAGAAAACAAAAATAGAGTAGTTGATGTTGAGGTAAAAGAACTTGAAAAAGAGATTGAAAAACAGGAGAATTTGAAAGGTGAACTTGTGTCTGTGCAGACGTTACCAGGGCAGTATATTAAAGAAATGGATCGGATGAACAAACATAGGAAGTAAGTTTTGGACGTCGCACATTGCGTTACACATTGTGTGAAACCATTCGTTTTCACTGGAATACAATTTCACTATTTTTATATTTTAAGTAATTTCACTGGATTTTAAGTCCTTGAACTTGGCAGAAAAACAATGTGTTCTATACGTTCAGCAAATTTTACTTATCTGTGAAAATAGCAAATTTAAAAACCAATGAATTAATTAATGTATTTACAGTATCATGTAAATCAGTATCCATCAAAAAATGCAAATATTTATGCTTGTTTTTGTTGCCCTTTCACACTGGGATCATTCCTATGAAACTCAAACGATTCTTAGGACTATTACGGTATGTAATTTCTTTAATGGTATGAATATGTATGGAATAAATTTGGGTCATCAGACAATTTTTCAAGATACGAAAGTCAAAAATATTATGGAAATCGGTCAAAATTGGCATTTCTACACTGGTTTCCATAGTGGGATTATCTCTTCATATCTCAAAATTTTGCTCTGTGACATAATATGAAAAAGTCATATATCATATGACTTTTGCTGGATAATAATAGTATAGTATAGTAATTAATTGCACATCTGTGATTCAACACGGACCAGCTTTCCATAGAATTGATCAACAAACAGTACCGTAAAAATTTCTAAATCTTGGTGTTCAAAAAAAAGATTTAAATTTGTTTCCTTAAATTCATACTTTTATGCAAAACATATCACAAAAATCATTATTGTCAACGAATTAAAAAAATATGTTGTAAAATGTGACATCCTTTGATGTATTCATCACTTCTACAGAATTTCAACAAAACATGGACGTCAATCTTTTTTACTGACATGAACAAAACTTGAGTGGCAAGAAAAAAAATGCACATAGGATTATTAGAAAGCATTGCTCTGACAGTGTCATGTTGTTGAAAAGTTGAAAGTTTATCGCTACCATATATGGATGTGACATGTCAAGAGTTACCCAATTCATATGATTGGATTGCTGCTTTACACTGTCGTTGCCTATGTTAAATTCTCTCTGATGATGTTGATTTTTATCTTATTAATTTGCACTCTTGAAATAACAATTATTTTACTACTGCATTAGTTTTCATAGTAATTGTTATTGCAGCACAATCCACAGTTGCTGGTGGGTGGCCTAATTTGCATTTGAATTTGCATACAATATTCTAGCATTTGTATTCGTGAAAATGTCAAGCTATATACACACTGACTACAGTTATAGATAGTTATTCACTATTTTTTTGTCTTTTCTTTAATTGAAACTTGTTTACAAATTACAACTTTTAGAAAAACAAACAAATGAAAATTATAATTTGCATATTAATAGTTTATGCAATGCTTGGTTTGATGCTGGTGATTTATACGTTCTCAAAATATTCTGCGGTCATGGAATGCAGTGTGTTTGATTTGTAAAGAACAAGTACAAAAACTGGTTGCTTTGTATATTGTAGAAAATATGATGATTTGTCAAAATGAAATAACCACAACATTTTTTTGACATTTTTGGCATCAGTACAGAACATACATTTGCTACGACATGTTGTGTTGAACTTTTAACCAGTTTGCCATCCTAGATTGTACAAACTATAAATATCTTTTAAAGGAAGACATTTTATTAGAACAATACAATTCAACGTGACACACTTACTGTTTCAGTTGATTACTAGTGGCAAGTAATTTTAGCCAATAATTCACTTGATTTCTTTATTTTAACCAATGACTATTGATTCATTGGTTATTAATTCATACTACTATATGGGAGAAAAAAAAGGATTGACATTTAAGAACAACAAACACATTTTTCACTTAATAATAAGCAGTGAACCAGATCATTTCTTTTTACATTGAAGACAATTTCTCTCTGTCATAAGTAGATGTGAACACTGTCAGTTTTACATGTACCAGTGGATGATGCATACAGTGAATATACGATAGTATTCATGTTATACTTTATATATGCCATGCTGTTTGTATGAATAATCAAGACATTAAACATAACTTGTCTACACTTGTTATTGGTTTGTAGTGAAGTAGACAAGAAACTGACAGAGCTAAATGAACAGTATACAGAACTTAAAACAGCATTACAGATGTATGACACTAAACAAACTACTTTGGAAGATGACAAATTTGACATGGAACAAGAGCTGGAGAAGCAGAGGGGAAAAGTGGAAGCACAACAACGTGAATTTGATGGTCTGATGAAAGATTATGAATATGCCAAGGAAAGAGAGGCAGTCTACTTAGGTGACAGGTATGTGATTTCATGATTTATCTTTTTAATAATGCATGGATCTGTAACTTTGGAATACCGAATAATTTGAATAGCAGATGTGATGACCAGGGCTTGAAATTTCCGGAGGCCACAAAGGCATTTGTTTTGATACCCTGTCTGTCTTTTTTTGTTTTGATAGAGCTACTCTGGATCTCAGTCTTAGACACATTCACCTTGAAAAGAAAAACCAACATGATCTTCACGCAAGGAAACAGAGAGAGAGGGATCGTGACTTGAGAAATCATAAGAAAACTGATCTGCAGCTGAAAGTGGCGCTGGAAAATTTGCTGCACACGCAGTCAGTGCATGATAAAGTCAAATCACAAGCAGATGCCGCTCCAAAAGATGATGGGGCACTATTTGACAAAAGGAAAGAATTGCAAAGAGAAGTTGATTCTACTAAGAGAATGCTTGCTCAACAGGTAAGGTCGATTGCAGTATACTTGGTTGTATTGTTTCGTTTATGCACACTTTTAATCTAATTTGACTGTGAAGACATAAAAATAATCTGATAGCTGTGTTGTGTTTTCACAAAAAGATGCAAACCGAGTTTGTATAATATTTAGAAATGTTGGTGACAGATACATCTGATTTATACCGGTATAATCATACCATAGTAGCCAGCTGATAAATGTCGCCGGGCATTTTTTTTTCAAATAATTTACTGAATTGAATTATTTGTTAATATTGATATCTTACTCTACAGGGCTTGCAGTCACTCACAACTAGCAATTTGACAATCTTGTGAATTATTTGTTTTTCATTTCACTTTGTGACAATCCAGAGATATGTTGCAAGTATGGTGCTTTTGTTTATTATATCTTTTCTTCTTGCCGCAGAACTCGCTCACTGCAGTGGAACAAGTCAAAGTGGAACAGAGCATTGCTGAAGAAGAGAGACTTCTGTATGAGCAGAGTGATCTCAGAATAGAGGTAGTGGAATTGACAAGATTGGCTGCAATCAAGGCTGATGAAAGAGAACAAAAAGCCAGGGATTTCATGCGAGCTGAGCTTAGATTCCATAGGGCAATAGAGGACTTAAAAACTAAAAAACTATCAATATTAGACAATAAGAAGAAATATAAAGAAATGACAGTAAGGTGTGTAGAAATATGCAGATATTAAAAAGAAAATTTTAGCATAATTGGCTCAGTGCATGAATGTCCAACAATCTTTTATACCTTCTGTTGAACTGGCTGGCTAAAATAAAACTGGACAGTAAATACACACAGACTTTTCTTATTATTGTTTATACAGACTTAAGGAGTTTGCTAAGATGTATGATGTCATTAAAAATGAAAGGAACAAGTGTGTCAACCTAATACAAACCAGTACGCAAAAAGCTGCAGAGATGAGAGAGAAAATAAAAATCCTGCAGAATGAAATAGAGATCCTGAGAACATCAAGTAACTCAAAAGAAAGGTTAGTTTAAAAGTATAGTTCCACTTCTGTGACATCTGAATGATGTATATGGGTGAAGGCAATATTATTCAAATCAACATCTGTGTTCTCAAAAACATTCTTTCAACTGACTTTGTATCCCCCATTTATGTCATAGAGTTTCTTTGTTTACACCATTTGCATTTAAAGTAATTTGAAGCAATTTAGCACATGAATTTAGTGTAAACAATGTATTTTATACATGTTGTTTACGTCGATAAAGGTTCCATATCGAACACAACGTGGAGCGACAAATGCTGCGTTTTAATGTTTTGCAAGTATGATGTAGCTGAAACAAATGTAATTTAGCCTAAAGTCTAATCTATTTTTGATTTTGCATTCCCTAGGCAGTTACAGAAGGCACGACTGAAGCATGTGAATGCAGTGGTAATAAGAGACCAGTTAAGGAATGAGTTTGCTAAGCAGAACAGGCTGGAAGCCGAGAATAAAGAGAAACGAAATCAACAGAGAATGGATATAAATAAGCTTAACCAGATGATAAACCAAGCTGAGGAACAAATGGTGAAACTTAAGAAAAGATATGAAACTGCCGTACAACATAGAAATGATAGGTAGGTGTCATCTTACACCATTGCAATGCATATTCATGTAAGCTAGGTTCCGTATATAATATGGGACAAACATATATGTATAATAAACATGACTTTATAAAGATAGATTGTATTATGATAACCTGAACCCCTGTATAGCATTGCAGCTTGAGAATAACCCTTTAATTACATTTTTCACAGAGGTGTACAACTCATAGAAAGAAACGAGGAAGTTTGCATATTCTATGAGAAAGTCAATATCCAGGATGATATGATCCGCAAAGGTGATATGGAATTACAATCAAGAGAAGAAGAAATTCGTTTTATCAAGATGAATTTAGCAGAGGAGAAAAGAGCAATACATCTTTTATGGAAGTCTCTTCCCAATAAAAGATCTTTGGATAATGATCTTGTTACACTACAGATTCAGGTACGTACAATGTCTGTGTGCTGTTTCTTTTTTATTCAGTAAATACCAGTGCAGATAAAACATACCATATTTGTTGTATATGCGATATATTACCATATCTATATACATTATGATATAAATCTCAACTGCATGAGATATGAGATTACATCCAGATGTAATTGAATCATGTTTGGAGTATATCCTAAATATATGTCAATTATACTGTACAGTACAAAATACATACCAGTAGTACAAGTAGATAGATTCTTTGTTTAAGATTGATTGTTCTGCTCTCCATAAATGGTTCCATCTTTTTTGTCATTGTGAAACTGATAATTGAGACCTGATAAAATACCGCATAAAATAGTTGGTATAACAAACAAACAAGGAAATCAGTAGGATCGCCAATCTGTGACAATGTGTCACTAAATAGATACATCAGGAGATGTTCATTCAAGACATTCACCAAGTTGTGATTGTCATTAATCTTTACTCAATATATCAGATTGATATATAATTTTGACTCATCTCAGCTGAAGTCAAAGTAACAATAAGTATATAATTACATCACACTTTACTAAATAATGTTTGTATTTTATTGTCTACTTTCCTATTAGAAACACTATTTTCATTTCTGTATTTGTAATTTACCAAATGTGTAATCAAATTTATGTATTTATTCGTTTGTGTTGCAGCTGTCACAGTGTCAAGATCGCATGGCTGAACTTGAAAGAGAACTAGAGAATCCTTACAATGAGGATAGAGTTAGACTGTTGGAAGGAAAAGATCTTACTCCACATGATCTCAACAACAAAATTGAAGAAGTAAGAACATTTTGCTGTGGTCAGACATCAGATGGCATGTTAATTCATGCAAGATTGATTTTCTTTGTAGAACTCTTGATAGGTGATTTTCCTCTCACTGCGTGATATTGCGTAATGTGGGAAAAACACAGATCGACAGTCTGTCAGAAGAATCAAATGATTTGATTTTGAATTAGAATTAGAAAATGGTCCAAATTCCTATCTTCTGAGAGGAATATTGCATTGAGATATCCTTCATCTAAATTGACCATCATCAAATGTGTATAGCACATTATTAAGCATGGAATGACCCAGGGAATAGTTTTGCATTTGTTGAATCCAATTCACGTTTAATTTCACTCGTAATGCAGGATCTTGCAATTAGCTGAAAATAAGAATTCATTTGTCTATTCATGTTGTTGTATTCCTCAGCTTGAAATCAGGTTATCAGATAAAGAAGAACAACTCTTGGAGAAGGACCTAGTGTTTGAACAAGTTACCAGACTATCTGAAAGGGTTCGAAACAAAGCAGAATCTGGCAAGCTTGATACACTGAACTTAGCCAAAAAGGTAGTTCTGTAGTTCATTATACTGTTTATACTATCTGTTTGCACTACAGCAACATATATTTAAAGCTTTTGCTTTGTGACATTCACATTATATTTTGTATGTAAGTTTATTTCTCATTTGCTTGCAAGGTTAATGAATTCCAAGCGAAGATCAAGGAAGTAACTCGAAAGATGATGGCAAAAGTTTCGGAACTCTCCATGAATCAGGCTCAGGCTATGAAAATGCAGCAAGATTTGAAGTCTAATGAAGCAATTCTTGAGCAAGCTTACATTCGCATGGAGCAAGGAGAAGCACCAACTGAGGAAGCAGCGATAGAATGGGAAAAGATGATTAGGGATGAAATGCGAAGAGGACGAGAAAGAGAGTATAGAAGAATGGTTAGTGTTGTCTCAGCTATTTACTAATTGGTTTTGTACAATGACTTTGAGAGAAAACAGGGATTATTGTTGATGTCTTGTCGCTGCCATTTTCTCACATAAGGATGGACCAATTTTGTTCTAACTTGCACTCATATGAATACATATGAATTTCCATTGTAAACAGATTCAAGATTTTTGTTATAACATTCCCTATACGACTTGTATTAACAGGTTGGGTATGTTATTGATAATTGAACCCGTCAACAACTTGGATATGTCTGGACTGATTTATTTTTTCAAAATTCGTCTTCCAACTTTACATAAATGTACATACACTAGGTTGCTGATGCATTTTGCTCTTCATGGTCAGATACAATACATCTGACTGCTAATCAGTTTTATCATAACATTTATCAAATCTTACTTTACATCTGCATATTACTAGTATTTAATTGCATGGATATTAATGAGGTGACTGTGTATATTTCATTCAAATTTCCGATAGAGACCAAACTTATGCAAATTATTTTTTCATGATTCTATTCAGTATGTATGGCCAACTGGTGGCCATTATGCTTTTTTTATTGTGGCCTTATTAAATTGCAATTAAATACTAGTAATATCGTTTAAAGTTGACATACAATGTTTAAAACTTTTAATACTAGTCATATAAATTGCAAATGTCCCTAAATCCCTGATTTTATACATTGTATATCATGGTGATCTGTCAAATTGCAGCTGATATAAAATAAAGTATATAATACTGATATCATTGTGTTTTTTTTATTCACCTACAGACGGAAGAAGAAGAAGAACAATACACTTTAGCTGGTGGCATGACAACAACTGCTGAGCCAAGACCCAATGCTTATATACCTGATGATGACTCTGAGCTTCCTGTACCTAGACCATACGGTTCCAATGCACCATTCAAACCCCAAGATGCTGGTTCAAGTATGAGACACATCAGGAAACCTGTAGTGAAACCTATTGAAATTTAAACAATTTCTAAAATGAAAACATTGCAATTTCTACACTGTTTTATTATTACAACTGACATATACCAGTTTTGATAATACATGTTTGCTACGTTTATGTATTAAAAGAGGGAATAATAATGATTTTTTTGTTTTTTTTCAAATAAATGTACAGGATAAACAAATTGAATGAAATGATCTCTTTCTGTAAATATTGTAGATTTTTTTAAAAACATTTGGCTGATTTGAACTTACTTGCCCAATTGTTCAAGTTAATTGTGTGAATAAATCATGCAGGATATTTATGTGACTTTGTAGTACTTTGCGTTTATAATGATCACGAAACCAGTATACCATTCAGCAATGGATATGGAAACAGAATCCAGTGTTATTTATTTAAAGCTTATACTACTTTTGTGCATCATTGATATGGCTATACATTCCTTTCCATTAACCTAGACAACCAATAACGTGGTATTGATATGATGATTGTATTCATATAAAGATATGGCTGATTAATGTTTCATCGTGATTGTTAATTGACCATACCTCCCAACTAAACATGTGCAAAGTTTGGAGTTTTTCAAAGATGGTCAAGGGTGAGGTTTAAAGTACAGCCCTTATTCAATTGCGAATTTGATAAAATTAGCAATGCAAATCATACACCAAATATAATTATACTTGAATTATTAATGAGCAAATTATATAGTGTTCAATGAACAATATGTGAGGAACAGGTAAGTTGTTGTTGACTCAGTTGTGAACTTTTTTTTTGTAATAACATTCAAACTATTTTTATCCATTCTTCATATTTGGATATATTAGAAACCAGTTTGGGATCTTAGTCTTCTCTACTTGTAGTACGGTAATTCAATTGTAGGGGAATGACGATCTTGTACCTGGATGCATACTTAGTATGCTCAACCTTACCCTACATTTGATGAATTGAAACAAATGGGTTATCAGGATTATTTCATTTCTACAACTGCCATAAACTAGTCCATGAGCCAGGTCTTGGAACATGACTTATCATTACCATCTCAGGGTAGAAATTAGATGGTAGTCTTAAAAGTTACCAATGATTTTCTTGATGTATTTTACATTTGTATGATAGCAGTGTCATGGTGGAAATTCGTCGTCTCTACGTCACGTCTGCTTGAGGTACCGGACCGGGAAAGTCACTTAAGCTTTACAGTCAAATAGACGCACACAGCGAAATACGTTTCAATAGCTAGTCTTTAGCCACATCGAGAACGCCTCAAGGCAAACTGCCTCATTGGAGACTCTGCCCAGGACTGACCAAGACTCTCTCGCCTCGTGGAGCTCTCTGGGCCCAAGGACTTATCCTGTTTATTACGTATCAAAACTTAACCAATTACAAAGAAGTTGAAAGACATAAGGTGTAACCTTCACACATTCAACTTGCACATAGCCAATCACACTAAGTACTGGACACGTCATATCTACTGATTAATCGTTCATTATATTAATAAACTACAAATACCAAACTCTCAGAAATAGTAGTCCGAATGGCGACGATTATATCGTAATTAGTTCCAAATCACTGAGTCAAGTTCCGTCCAGAACCTCGCATGAGCCTAAATGATGTCAGATATAACACAGCCATTCACTAGTAACCAGCTAACCAAGTCTGTCAACAGATACGCGAAAACCAGACTCAAATCAGTAGCTTTTCATAACACGTCGCTCAAAGTTCACATATAGTAAATTTCAAATTATGCTATTTTAGTAAAATATATTAATTATGGACTAGTAGAGTGATTGTATGTGATCATGTGATCTCTTTTTGTGACCAAGGTTTGACAGTTATATACCAGAAAGGTATACGCAAATCAAGACTATTTTTCACACGTACATGAACGCTACCTGGCTTATTTTGTTCAGCAATCTCATATCAATTAACAACATAGTATACACTGATGATGCATGCAAATAGTAATATATAACAACTTAAAATCCATATGAAGGAAACTAGTGGTTTTTGTCCACTGTGTATTTCCACTTGTCTTCCATTTGTCATATTGTTCAATATATGACGTATACCTGTGATCGCACGCATCTATCTCAGTACACAAGTGACAACATAATTAAATATGTTAATATATCGATCATAAAGCATTTGGTCACACACTTGATTCGCTTTTATCAACTAGAAGTTCGTCACATTCAGGTCTATCACTGCTTTTACTATCTTTTTTCTGCATAGCATCCGTGAAACTCCGACAAGTAACTGACTCCTTAGCCTTAGAATGGCTGTATTCAATTCCTCGCAACTCAGTATGTTGTCTTTGCTTTTTCTTATGTTTATGATCGACTACATACTGTCCTACCATTAGAATCAACACGCTGGCAATGATACAACATCCTCCGAAATAAAAAGACGCATCATAATTCCCAGTAACATCATATAGATAACCTGGCGAAAAAAATACAAAAGCATTCTTTTTAATGAATTCCTAATGCAAGTTAAGTCACTGTACAAGTAATAATGTCACTGTTGGTACTTGTCTTAGATTATCACAATATTATACCTGCCTCTTTTAACTATATTTAGATTATTGTTTAATTGCCCAGCACAGCAACCGAGAATAAATATACCAAATATTGAAATGAAATGCACAGTCAAGTCATCGAGTTAGTAATGCATGAGTATTTAGTATAATTATTTAGTATATTTATTGCAAAGCAAAGGGCCATTGGCCCAAAGAGCAAATACAGTTTCACTTAACAATGGTAACAATAGAAAAAA